CCCGAGGGGAGCGCGAGCCGGCCGGGCGCGCGGGTGCGCTTTCCGGGGGATGGCGCGTCCGCTCGGCAGCGTCACTCTGGCTGCTTCCTGGCTAGAAGTCACGACTGCGTACTGACCGCCTGCGCGGAGGGCGCGCTAAGGCAAGCGCGCACCCCGGCTCTCCCCGCGGACGCGCGCCGCGGCCTCTCGCCTGGCGGCGGATGCGCTTCCGGAGCCCGGGCCGAGCCGGGAAGGGGCGTCCTGGGGACGCGCGCCGCCTGACTGCGTCGCCTCGTGAAAACCATCAGCTAGCAAATGCCTCTTGTGCGCGGGAGGGGCCGCGCCACGGCCTCCCTCTGCAGCCCAGGCTGGCCCCGAACTCTGGTGGTCCTCCTGCCTCAGCCTCCCAAGCGTTGGGGTGACAGGCCCGCGCCACCGCGCCCAGCCTGACCTCCTTTCAAAAGCCCCCCGACGAGCTAACAGCTGTCTGATTTATTAACCCCTTATAAGTCTCAATTTCCCACTCTAAATTGGACTAATATTATTTGACCCCACAGGTCCTTCTGAGATAAAATGGAACAGTTTCTGTAATACCCGGAACATCACCAATTAAGTGTTCAGTAAACATTAATTACTGCCTTTTTCAGCAGCATCTTTCTCAATCCTCCTGTTCTCATGTTCTCCGCATTATCCGAGGAAGATACTTTAAAGTATAAGCGAGGGGAAACTGGGAGAGCGCTGGGCCAGGATTCCCAATTCTAACGTCTCGTTCTAAATATGGAATCCCACCCGACTCTCCAGGAGTTTTGTTTTGAGCCGGGCTCGCTATGTAGTAAGGCTGGCTTTGAACTCACCGTATTGCCCAAGCTACAGCGTGTGAAGACCGTCCTACCCCAGCCTCTCCAGCCCTGGGATTACAGGTCTGCGCCCGCACATCAGACCCCAGGGTCTTACCTGTTACTTCCTCACGGCTGCGCAGACCTAACTCTATCTTCGTTTCTGACGCGTGTTCTTCACTAGCCACATAAGGCTGCAGAACGCTTGAAATGTGACTGGTACAAACTGAGAAGCACTTTAAATAAGAAGTACACACCCGGCTGGGCGTGGTGGTGCACACCTGTAGTCCCAGCACTCGGGAGGCTGAGGCAGGAGGATCACTGTGAGTTCAAAGCCAGCCTGGGCTATGTAGGAAGACCCTGTCTCAGAAAGACAAAAAAAAAAAAAAAAAAAATCCAATTTCAAGTTACACTGCAAAAAAATAATGAAAATCTGGAAATACTTTTTTTGTTTGTTTGTTTTGAGACAGGGTCTTCTATGTACCCCAGGCTGGTCTGAAACTCACAACAATCCTCCTGCCTCAGCCTCCCAGGTGCTGGGATTACAGGCGTGCACCACCACGCCCAGTAAAAAAAAATTTTTTAAAGGTTGGGTATATATATATATATAAAAGTTGGGTACATAGTTTAGTGTGAAGGCCCTGGATTCAATCCCCAGTACTGGAGGAGAAAAAAATAAACTTTTTTTAAAAAAATGACTACTAGGAAATTACATTTTTAGCTCATACTGTATTTGTACTGGGCATAGGCAACTCTAAGGCATAGGCAACTCTTACACAAAATAAATGAGTACATGTATGTGTGTTGTACTTCCTCCCCCAAGTCAACCACAGTAGAAACCTGAAGGGTAGGGGACTGCTCTCCCTCTGCGCTCCCTCCCTCTAGCCAATCAGTAAGCCCTCCGTTCTGCCTCCAAGATCCCTCAGACCCGCCCATTCCCTGCGTGTTCTTCAGCACCCAGGGTTTTAGGATCTTCATTGTTTACTGAACATGGATCAGCCCAGAGGGCGGCCTGCCTTCTGTCATAAATTCAAGGCCAGCCTGACCCACACAGTGAAACCCAGGCTGCAGTAATCAAAAATAAATAAACATCTGTCAAGCACTTACTGTATGTTAGACATTGTTCTGGGCACTTGAGTACTACATACATAGTCTGTGCCCGATTGCGGGGTTTTTATGGGATCTTCAAGTAAAACTAGTATTTACACTATAATGTGGAAAAGTTAGCTGGGTGAGGTGGTGCGCCCCTGTAATCCCAGCACTTGGGAGGCTGAAGCAAGAGGATTATTGTGAATTCAAGGCCAGCCTAGCTACTTACTGAGACCCTGTCTCAAAAACAAAACAAAACACAACACAACAAAAAACCAAACTTGATCTGACCTCCCCATACCCCGCTCCCCACCAGCTGATGGGCGAATAGGTTGGAATTCAACCCTGGATCTGGCTTAAAATCC